TATAACAGCTAATGAGGCTTGGACATAAGCGAGGAGTTTAGTGCAAATGCTGCTGTTTCCTATAAAAAGAGCAAAACAGTCCCAGACCCCGAATCAGATGCTTTCTGAATGTACTTGTGAATGAAGAATGCAGAAAGTCTGAGCGCTTTAGTGGAGAGAGACAGAGAGTGAGAGACAGGCATTCCTGCTGCTGAGCTGCTGACGGTCTAATCCTCTTGGCTTACCTGGAGCGCCTCCAACTACAAGGAATCTGACAGGGGGTGGAACTTTTGAAAAACTTCTGCAAATCCTGTCAGCTCCACGCTGTGCCCTTTGTCACAAGACGAATCCATTTAGTGAGCTGCAATTTAGATGCATCTCTTGATGGCATTCAGTGCAAACAGTAAGATAGATGATAAGCCAGGGTCAGCAGTAGCTGAATAACACAGGAAGTTATTTGTTATGCTGTGTAACACTTATAAACTGAGGGGGAAGGTGCTGATGTTAATAAGAGGAAGTTATGAATTTCTGAAATGCTTAATTTTACAGTTTTTTTCTAGTATAAACATATGGCACTACTTCGGCTTCAGTGGTTCTGTTAGAGCTTTAGAAGTCTTCATTGTGATAATTCATCTTTTGTCGGTTACTGTTTACAGAGCCGAAACTTCAACGCAAAGATGGGATTGTCATTTAACCCAACGCACCCCTACAGGTTGCTTGTTCAAGCTGTAAGATTGCTCATATTGATGTCATAAAGTTGGATATGTAGCACTGAACTGTGGTGAAGTGCTGTTTAACGTTGCAAAAGGCTGTGCTATACCACAAAGCGTTCTCTTCCTAAACCCTAAACCAAGTAACAACTTATGATGTTGAATTAGGACTTCGTTTCACAGACATAGTCTGTTGAGGTGATAACTGTTTGGCACTCGTTAACCGCTTTATGCTCGACTGGTTGGTGAGTGGCTGGAAGTTGCTGGCTGTTTCTGGGGAAAAAAACATTCATAAAGAAAGTGCTGCACCAAAAATCTCCTTGTGATTGTTTTGTCCTAGCAGATTTCTGCTGTCACCTGCATTTTGCCTGGAAGAGGCCGACTTGCCTACAGACACTCGAGATTTACTCGCCGAGTTGTGCTGGAATGCAAACAAGAGGTGGAGAATAATCCTCTCCAAAGTTAAAGTTGTCCCTTATCACCACAACCACCTAGTTTCAAAGGTGCAGCTTTGATTTTAAAGCAAAGTGTCTTTGGTTTAATGGGACAGCCAATGACTGTTGATCAGCACTTTGGAGAAGGTTGGATTTAAATCTCTGGGTTCAAGTTTTGAGCGTCTTTGTTAAAATGATTAGCTGGTCATGGGACACAGCTGAAAGCTCCAGACAAAGTTGCTCACTAAACCTCGAGTTTTAGAGCATTTTAATGCTGGTTTAGCATTCCCTGTCAAAAAAGTCACATTAGCAGTTGCTGTAATGTTTCCTCTAAGCAACTGCAGCAGCAGTTACTGTTTTCTGTATTTTTAAATAGTTTTTAAGCAGCGTCAAGATGTTTATGGTCACATAATTCAAAACACTGTGTGCTGTAGACCATTAGGGCAACTAGGCAGGAACAGTGAGGTACACATGTAAGTTTGTTTTTTTAGTTTGTGTTGTACTTTTCATGCTTTCACTACAATCTGGGACGCATGCAAACTTCTGCTGATGGTGGCAACCTGCTAGTGATAAAAGCAATTGGTAAAAGATTTATTGTGAAGCACCCGAATACCTCTTTGCAACAAGTTTTACACTTGCACTTTTCACACTTGCGACTGCAGCTGTTCACAGTATATTGGCTGGTTTCTAGGTCTGTGTGAATGGGGCTTAGCAGTCAATTTTACAGTGACGGGCCAAGGAAACCTGACTTAAACCGTGTTTATAGTGTGACAGGAAAAACTGTTTTTCTCTGAGTCTCTCTATGGATAATTTCTTCCTTCATAACAACTTCACAAGTTATGATTGAAAAAAAAATTCAAATTCATCCATTTGAAATTTGTTAGCTTAAAATTATGGTCATAGCTATTCTGCCAGTCCTCACCTAGTTTTCCATTAGCCTGTTCGCTAGCAGTGATTGGCTGGTGTTTTTGTGCATGTTTCCCTCATGCAGGTTATACATGTAGCTTGCTAGCCAAGCTTGCTAGCATTAGCCGATAACTTAGGAATCCACCCTTCTTTACAAATATATGGTCACTTATATCTCCAGAAACCATTATGGCATTAGCTGGAATGTTAATGTTGATTCCTTAAAAGTTTTAAGTCCAAAAGATAAAGTCTGAACAATGTGTGTTGTTAAGGCAACAGTCTGGTGCGTTTTTGCCTCCATCACTCTGCTTAGATCCCAACGTTGTCCTACTTTTAAACTGACGACACTCTTATATGTTATTTTATGTCATGAGAATTGTTAGAAACTTGTAATATACTGTAAGGTTACGTGGTATTTTGTGATTGTTATGTTTCTCTCTCTTGCCCAAAGTTATTCTAGCCTCTGTGTCCTTAAGACTCACTGCATGCAGGCAGCTGAGCAGTTTAACAAGGCTTATACTGAGGAGACATTAGGATTTGTGACTGGTGGAAGGCTGATAGTTTAAACAGAGTCTGTTAGTGATGCCCACAGAAGCAACAAGAAGACTTACAGCCTGCTAATAACAGCTTGGTGAGACTGATCTTGAAAGTGGGAACTGCTCTGAATATTCAAGTAGGAAAGTTAGCTAGCCAAGACTGGAGGATGCAAAATTGTAACTATGGTGTCGCCGTTACAGAGGGACCCACACCAGCAGGAAGTGGGTGAATGCATGACAGTCAGACAGGAAGTCGTATTTAGCTCCACTCCACGGCTGAGTCACAGCTTTAGCCTCTCTGCTGGAAAGCTGGAGACGCTTCGACTCAAACACTCGTGCTTATTCATGCACAGAGGGGAACGCCGATTGAGTGGCAGTCAGTGAATGAGCTAAATAGGGAGACTGTTGCAAAAATAAACAGAGGATGAATAACTGAAGGGAATAGGCTCTTGGAAAGATGGAGAGATAAAAGGACAGGTGGAAAAACGGGCAGGTTAGTCAATGAGTAAAGCAGACGAGCGGAAGGAGTCAGGACTTAAATCATGAATCCAGGTTTGCTGTTGTTAGGGGAAAAAAGATTTAGAGTGTTCAAAGATTTAGAAGCAGGAAGTGTCAGGAAGTTTTGATGATTCGAGTTATTAGTTTGATGATTTGCCGAGCAAAAGGTTTCTAAATGTTAAGATGGTGATAAAAGCATGTTTATTTCAGACATCTAAGTAACAGCAGGAATCATTATTACACATCCAAATACAGTTGTGCCATTAAAGAGAGTTCAAGTGTCCCTTTTAAAATTATTTTAATGGGACAGCCAATGACTGTTGATCAGCGCTTTGGAAAAGGTTGGATTTAAATTTCTGGGTTCACATTTTGAGCGTCTTTGTTAAAATGATTAGCTGGTCATGGGACACATCTGAAAGCTCTAGACAAAGTTGCTCGCTAAACCTCGAGTTTTAGAGCATTTTAATGCTGGTTTAGCGTTCACAAAAGTCACACTAGCAGACGTTGGCTGCAAAAGTTAGAGATACCTGCTGTAAAGTTTCTTCTAAGCAACTGCAGCAGCAGTTTGTTACTGTTTTCTTTATTTTTAAATAGTTTTTAAGCAGCGTCAAGATGTTTATGGTCACATCATTTAATACACTGTGTGCTATAGACCGTTAGGGCAATTAAGCAGGAACAGTGGGCTACACATGCTTGTAAAAAAATAATTACAAAACTTTCTACCTGCTAATGGAACGAAGGAATCAGCGGTCAATTTTCCCAGGTGAACTTATCCTGGAGAAACCAGGTTTCCCTAATACTCTACCTAGTTATGGAAACCATGTTTCTCATAAAGGAAAGTCAATAAATCAGCTCACTGGAAAAAAAAAACCATTGTGACATGGAGCATGTCTTATAGTTCCGAAGCTGCAGGATTTGTTTATGCAAGTGTCACGTATCAGGGATTTCATTGAACAATATGTAAGAAGATGTGTTTATTTATAAAAAAAAGTAATTAAGAAAAAAACACTCATTCAACCGACCTCACACACATTCATACAAAAAAAAGTTACGCTCAGGCATCTTATCTGACATTCACGGGCACTCGTGGACTGACAGACACATCGGAGGCAACTTAGGGTTCGGTATCTTGCCCAATGATGCTTCAACATGCAGGAGCAGGGGATCAAACCAGGGCTCGACCCACCCATCTTCCAGCTGAAAGAAACCGCTCTACCACAGTTGCTATATGAGATGACTTTGCTCAACCTACTGACAAATCTCATTCAGTATTGAATTTGCTGTGCATCTGCAAGCTGCTTTGCAACCACA